TTTCGGGCCAGCCCGTCCGCCTTCCTGGCAGGTCCCGTGGGTGAGGATCTGGGTCGAGACCTGCTGAACGACCTGAGAAGTGAGAAGCTGAGCGAACAGACCAAGGTAAGCCCTTCGTGCACTCCCTGCCCTGACCTGTGTGGTCATCTTAGCTCGCCGCGCCCTGAACCCATTTCGTGATTACCACTCATACCCAGGTTTCCTTGCTGGCGTTGAGCTTGGAGTACCCAGACCAGCTGTGGCCGGATGCCCCTGCGGCTGAGACAGCGGCCACCTCCCTCTTGGACACCCTGGTCCTTCTACCTCCGCGGCCCTCAGCCATACGGCGGCCCCTGCTTCTGGCGGCCACCACAGCCCTGGTGGCAGGAGGCGCGCTGGGCCCCAACTCGGGTGCCTCAGGCCGGCTCCTCCCCCTTCTGCTTGGGTTAGCTTCAGGCCGCGATCTGGGTCGAGGCTTTGGTCCCCCCTCGGAACAGCGACCCCTGCAGGCCACAGCGTGCGAGTGCCTGCGGGAACTGGAGAGCTGCAAGCCTGGGCTGCTCACAAGCTGTCTGGGGATGCTCCGGAGCCTGCTGGACCATGAGGGCCCCGTCCAGCCGCTCAGCCTGCTGCTGGCACTTGCTCTGCGCAACTGCTTGGTGTTACAGGCCAGGGCCAGGGCCGGTCTGCAGAGCCTGCTCATGACCTCGGTCTCTCCCACCGAGTGTGGTTCTTGGAACTGGACACTAGCTGAAGAGGGTGATGCCCACCTTCAGCCCCAGGCACCCAGCAGGCCAGTGGCCAAGGAGGGGGAGTGTGGCCTTGCAGCCCTGGAGCCCAGTCCTGAAGAGGCCCGAGAGCTGCGGGCTGTTGTGGCCCAGCTTCTGGACACCTCCTACCTACTTACTCCTGTGGTACAGGCCCAACTTCTGTGGCTGCTGGGCTGGGCCCTCCGGGGTCTTCGGGGACAGCCGCCAGTGCTCTTCAAGCCGCAGTTGGTACGGCTACTGGGTACAGCACAGCTGACGCTGTTGCACGCTGTTCTGGCACTCAAGGCGGCCTTCGGTGAGGCACTGTTCACGGCCCAGGATGAGGCTTTACTGCTCCGCCGGCTAACCTTGGCTGCCCAGCACCCGGCCCTGCCCCTGCCCACCCATCTCTTCTACCTGCACTGCCTTCTGAGCTTCCCTGAGAACTGGCCACTGGGCCCCACAGGTGAGGAGGCCGTCCCGCTGCTGCTAGGGCCCCAGCTTTGCCATGGTCTCTTGCCCAGTCTCCTGCACGACCCTTCAGACCTCCTGGCACGCCTGCATCTGCTGTGCCTGCTTTGTGCAGAAGATGAACAGGACGAGAAAGGTCAGGATCAGAGCCCCCGGCGATACCTGGAGGAGCTGCTGGCTGGCCTGCAGCAGAGGGCAGCCCTGGATGGGGGCCCCCGGGCCTTCGCCACTCTCTGCTTCCAGGCCTCATACCTAGTTGCTCACTGCCTGGCTAGGCAACCCACAGTGCTGACATGCTTGACCCATGGACTGGCCCAGCTGTACAGAGCCCGGCCTGCACTTGCTCCCCATTTTGTGGATCTCTTAGATCGGGTGGGCCCTGAGCTGGGGCTGCCCCTGAGGGTGATGCTGCGGCAAGAGGTGGTATCCAGGCCAGGCAGGGGTGAGGCCCTTCGCTGGCACCTACAGATGCTGGCAAAGGTGGCAGATGGGGATGCCGAAGGTTGCACCCTTAGCTTCCTGCAGGGTGCAGCTGGCCACTGCACAGACTGGGGCCTCCAGCAGGCCATGCTGCAGGTCTGCCGGGCCCTGCTGTGGGCAGGTGTCGGGGAAGGCCTGGCAGACTTGCTACAGGCTCTGGCCAGGCAGCTAGAGGACCCTGATGGGCGGGATCGTGCCCGCCTCTACTACATCCTCCTGGCCCACTTGACAAGGTCCAAGCTCAGGGTGGCCCTGGGCCCCTCACTTGCTACACCTGCACTGACCTCTTCACTGGTGGCTGAGAACCAGGGCTTTGCTGCAGCACTGATGGTGCAGGAGGCCCCGGCCCCAATTCGGCTGAGCATGGGGCCTCGCAAAGCCAAGGGCCCGGTGCCAGTGCTGCAGCTGCAGGTGGAGGTGCTGGAACCGGTATACTCTCTGGAGCTGCGCTTCCACGTGGAAGGACAGCTCTACGCTCCCTTGGGGGCTGTCCATGTGCCCTGCCTGTGCCCCAGCCGCCCCAGTCGCCCTCTGTCCCTGCCTCTGCAGCCCCGCCACCCCGCCCCGGCACAGCTGGGTGTGCGTGCCCTGTACACCACACCTGCTGGCCACACATGCCACGCCCACCTGCCGCCCCTGCCTGTGGACTTCGCTGACCTCTTTCTGCCTTTTCCCTTGCCCCCTGAGGAGGCCCGGCTGGGCTTCTTTGAGGAGCTCTGGGATTCCTGCCTGCCAAAGGGTGCCGAGAGTCGCCTGTGGTGCCCTCTTGGGTCACAGGGGCTGGAGGCCTTGGTGGCCCGCCACCTGGAGCCCTTTGTGATGGTGGCCCAGCCACCCACTAGCTACCTCATAGCCATCCACCTGCCCCCCAACTCAAGACTGCTGCTGCGGCTGGGGGCAGCCCAGGTGGATGGAGTGCCTGTGGCCCTGCGGACCGATGACTGGGCTGTGCTGCCCCTGGCAGGGGACTACCTCCGGGGGTTGTCAGATACTGTCTGAGTCCCGGAGCCAGGCCAGGTGGGAACAGGACTGTGGCTCTTGCAGGGTCTTGCCCAGGAAGAGCTACTGAGGGCCTGACACAATCCTGTGGCTCTTTTCTTTAAAAAAAAAACCTACATTACCAACAACCCCCACTGGTTTGTTTTCTTTGGGGCCCTGGTTGGGGAAAGGCACACGGTTTGAGGTCAGGGGCTCCAGGAAAGCTTCCAGACTAGGAACCCCCAGACTGCAGGGCTGCAAAGTTCCTTCCTGTCCAGATATGCTAGGATTCTCCAGAACCCTAGGAGAGTTTGAGGCTGAGAGGGGTCTCTGTGATCTGGGCTGAAACCTGCTGACTTCTCCTCACCCCAACTGCTAGGAAACCCAATCTGTGGACCTAGGAATATTCCCAGGTAAGTAGAACTGGCTCCCTTACTTCTTTTTCCAAATATGCAAGACGCTTAGGGTTCAAATGTATTGCGGCCAGCTCAGCTGCCAGGCACCAGGCTGGTGTTTCGCTTATTGGTTGCCTCATTTCATCTTTGCAGCAGCACGGCAGGGCCCCACAGGTGAGGAAATCTGTAGGCCAGAGCGATTAAGTGATTTTCCTGCTGTCACCCAGCTGGTTGGCTGTCATGTTTTGGAGCAGGATTCCATTGCCACAGCATCAGAGCAGAGATCTGTGTAGGCCGCAGGGACAGAGCCCCCAGCCCTCCCTGCCTGGGCCAGACCCCAGGAGGCTGCAGGAATGGCAGGCAGCAGTGCCAGGCAGCAATGCTGGGTGGAGAGCGACAGAGGCTTGGCCCTTACCTTTCTGGGGAAAGGGCCTCTTCCGTGGCCCCAGCCTCTTGGGCTCCCAGCCCACAGGTTCCCATGGGCCAGCTTTCCTTCTGACTGGGGCAGGAAAGGGAAGGGAAGGGCCTGGGGCAGGTGGGGCTGTTATAGGTCAGGTCAGGAGGTCTGTCCCAAGCTTAAGCTATATCAACCTGCCATGTGATCTGGGCAAGTCACCAAATCAGGTAGTGTTCAGTTCCAGGAAAGAGGAACTTCTCAAACTGAAGGAAAAAGCAGAGTTGTACTTCCAAAGTCACTGGGAGGCTGGAGAAGTGCCTGGAACTGTTGAGTTCCAGAACATACTGCCTTGCCTGCAGTCCAGCTCCTCTGGGCACCTAGAAGCTGGGCTTGGACCCTGGAATGGGGGGTGGGGCTGCCACCACTGCCTCTTGATACCCACAGAGCCAAAGAGCAGACCTGCAGAAGGATGGAAACTTCCATTGCCCCAGCCTCACTTCCTGTCCACAGCATTTGGAGGGCATTTCATAAGTGGAATCTTTCTCATGCAGTCCTCTCTATAATGGCAAGGGAACCTGGAAAATGCACTTGTTTCTTTTTTGACCTCAGATGCAGAAGGTAGTATCAATCCTTAGCCTAAAATTAAGATAATTGACCCATGTGAGGACTCATCAGCCATCTTTGTGTCCATCTGTATATCCATCCATGCATCTACCCCATTTTAACCACTTACTCCTCCAGTGCTGGGCACCAGATGGCCTCCAACTCTCCCCACCACAAATGCAACACATTGGATATTCTTATCCCCAATGGATCTATGTGAGTTTCCCTAGGATACATACCAAGAGGGGAATCACTGAATCGTAGGGCATGCATGTACATAAGCTGACTGAGAGATGTTAGAATAACTAAAAGTTGTTAGCTTTGCAGCCTCTCAATTTGTCTTGGAAAGCATTTTGTAGGTAGGGATGGGCCCTTGGTGAACCAGCCCGTGCAGCCACCCCAGCCCACCCTGCTGTGTGCTCTGTCCACATACCTCTGCTCATACTTACAGCTAAAGACACAGCAACAACGTGCTCCACCTGACTACCCCTCGTACCACCAAGGCTTCTTCCCAAAAGTCCCATCAGCTGCTCTCCACCTGTATGGACGTTACTAATGGTCTCTAATTGCTGGTTCTCCACTTCCAGGCATATTTGTACCCTCCCCACCTCCTTGAGGTTAGGCCTGGCCACTAGACCAGGTCTGGGACAACACACGTCACTTCCAGAACTCCCCCTTGCAGCTCTCTGGCCCTGCTGTGGCCACTGGGGAAGTGTACATTGATATCGCGTACTGAATAGTGATGGGGTTAGCCACCAGTAACACACACTTCGTGTGAAACAAGAGGAAATATGGGGAATGCTAGTGCTTAATCTGTATTTGCTTGCAGAGAAGAAAGCATTGTGCAGTGAGTTACAAGCCATAATTAGGGCTTCCAGCTTCAGCAAATAGAAATATTGTACAGGATACCCAGTTAAATTTGAACTTCAAAAAAAAAAAAAAGCAATGAACATTAGGACATACTTTTACTAAAGAAAAAAAATAGTTTCTTTGAAATTCTGGGCATCCTGTATTTTATCCGGCACCCCTAATCTGGTACTTAGAGCTTATTTCTTCCACTACCCACCCATTCTCTGTCTGCCCTCAGGGATCTTTACCCAGTAAGGTGATCTTCATTCATGAGGGGTCCAGGTCCTTGGTGATTCTGCCTGTATCCAGTCTCTTTAGCCTTTGGTGAATATTGTTTCTGGACCGGCAGTCCTGGGAGATGCCCCCAGGAATCTCTGTCTCCACTGTGTGGCAGCGACAATTTCTTCCTTCATAATCAGGATCAATCACCCTTTTAGTGCTGTGGATTCTAAGGCACGAAGAAGGCAAAACGACAGGGTAGCAGTCTTCACTGCCCATTCAGAAGAACACTGCTGCGCCCATCGGCAGTCTCTCTCTTTCAGACACTAAGGACTCTAATCCAGCAAAGGCCAAAGCTGGAGGGACTGGGAAGCAGATGCTCGTGAGAGATCTCCAGGGAGCTGAAGACTGGTGGCAGTGTGGGCTCCCATGTCCCCCGGAAAGCACTATGGTACAAAGACAAGAAAAAGAGAAAATTACGCAAAACCAAGCCCTCAGTATAACTTGAAGACAGAATACTCAAACCAAAAAATACCGGTAAGTAAAAATAAACAAAAAACAAGAGACAGCAGGAGACCTCCCATTCTCCCCTCCCAGTCTCGCCCTGCCACGGGAGTGGCTGAGAAACCCAGCTGTAGGGGAGGGGGGGAGGGGAGAGGGAGTTTAGTCATGAGGTCTACAGTCCAAGATCTCACCAGACTCTCTCTAAGTCTGAAAATGTTAAAAAATGTTTGCAGCAGGTCAGAATTTGGGCTACAAGGCAGGGATTTAAAGTATCTGTGCAATTCGAAGAGGCAGTCTTTGAAACATTAGATTCTGGGGGAGCAAAAAGGCAAAAAGGAAGTGAGCCGTGTCCTTCGGCATTTGTGTGTGAAAGGGAAGCGGCTGGAGGAATCGCATGGCTCTGCAGGTCAGAGAACAAAGTCACAACTTCTTCCCCACTCTCCAGACAATCCATTCAAGTACCCAGGCTTTGCAATGTTCACAGGAGAGGACGCAATCAACCAGGGATCTTACTAAACTCCCAACACCACAGAAATGAACATGAGAGTTTAACAGATTCAAACAGTTCTTGCAAAATACCAAAAAAAAGGAATTTCATCTCATATCAACCAAGGAAAATTCACACACACCGCTGAAGAAATAGCCAGGAAGCAGAAGAAAGCTGTAATACAACACTTTAAACAGAGCTGAATATACTCAAAACAAGCATCTGAAGATAGGCAAAGTCCCTTTGGATGGGAATTTTTCAAAGGACAGAAACAGACAAAATCCGAGAGGAAATGAAGAGAGTTGACTGAACTCAGCAAAGTGGAAGAAATCGAAAAAAAAGTTATCTAGAAATAAAGATTACATTACAAGATGCCCAAGGAGGAACAGACTGGAAAATACAGTAAAGGGACATTCAGGGATGAAAAACAATCAAGAGAATGAGAATGAGATAAAGTAGGAGAGGCCAGAAGAAGGTAAGCCAAGAATTCCTTCTTTGACTATATCCACATCCGCGTTGTTGGAGACCCCAAAGAAAACCTGGACAAAACCAGAACTGATATTTAATATGCAAAGAAAACCTCCTAGGAGCGAAAGAAACAACAACAACAAAATGCACATTAAAGACCCACTGAGAACTTGTAAAATTAACCCAGAACAATCAACTTTGAGACACAGCCTCACAAAACAATTAGATTTCAAAGTATATAGGAACAGGAGACGTAGGGAGAGGTCACCCGAGGGCTGAGATAGCTCGGCCCCAGTTACAGGTCCAGACCAGATGGCATGCTGCTGTGGCCCACAGGGTGGCAGAGGAGTCGCCGTGGGGCTGTGCCTGTGGGACTTGCTGGAAACCATCTCCACGGAGCCAGGGAAAGCTGTTCAGGGGCAGGGTCTCACTGGAGGTACCCTACTGCAAAACTGTCCCAGGCGAGGTCTGGGGGAAGTGGCCGACGGCTGGCTTGCCACCGCTGCTGCCCTGCACCACCGGAGCCTGGGGCTGGCAAAACCACGAACCCGTAGTTTTTGACCCTGGAGGAGCTTCAGATTGTCCAACCAGCAAATCAAGAGGAAGGAGGACTTTTTGCAGTCACTTCTCTGCTCCCTCTACTGACAAAGCTTAGCAATGCGCCGGCTGGCAGAGAAAGATACTTAAAGGGCCCCTGTTCGTTTTCACAGGGCAGGCAAAGAGGAGTAAACTTGGAGCTGAGAGTCACCTGTACAACCATCCGTGAACTTATCCTGTTTTCCTTTTGCCATCTCTCTTCGTCTCCCACATTTTTGTTACATTATTTCTACTTTATCACAATATATACAATTTGCACTTACTTATTTAACTTCATGCACCAGACAGAACAGCCATTCATGCTGTCCAGCTCACCCTCCGTCAGTGGCCCATGGTGACTTTTTTCATGAGCCCAATGGACAAGGATAGGCATGATTGGGGAGGGAATGTGTCGTCTTCTCCACCTGCAGAAGATTCTCTTTGGGAAGTCTCTGTATTAGACCTCTTTGCCACCAATGTTCTTTTTCTGTTTTGTTTTGTTAAGGTATCATTGATATACAGTCACATGAGCAACATTGTGGTTACTAGATTCCTCCCATTATCAAGTCCTCACCACACCCCATAACAGTCACTGTTCATCAGCATAGTAAGATGCTATAGAGTCACTACTTGTCTTCTATGTGCTATACTGCCTTCCCCGTGTCCCGTCCCACATCATGTGTGCTAATTGTAATGCCCCTTAATCCCCTTATCCCTCCCTTCCCAGTCCCTTTCCCTTTGGTAACTGTTAGTCCATTCTTGGATTTTGTGAGTCTGCTGCTGTTTTGTTCCTTCAGTTTTTTCTTTGTTGTTACGCTCTACAGATGAGTGAAATCATTTGGTACTTATCTTTCTCCACCTGGCTTATTTCACTGAGCATAATACCCTCCAGCTCCATCCATGTTGTTGCAAATGGTAGGATATATTTTCTTCTTATGGCTGAATAATATTCCATTGTGTATATGTACCACCTCTTCTTTATCCATTCATCTACTGATGGACA